ATAAGCATCTTCAACTCTCTCACAAAAAACGAAAAAAACTTAAATTGGCAACCTATTCAGAAACAATCTTCAAGCAAAAAAAACTCACTTTTTCAACAAAAAAAAATTATTTCAAATTGCTTTGCATAAAATCGGAAGCTAAGATAAATACATTCAAAATCAAAAAATCAAAAAAAAAAAGAAGTTGGAACTGGGTTCCACGCGAGGAACCCATTGAGAAGACGATGGTGAAGATGGAGGACGGTGAAGATGATGCCGAGGATGAGGGGGGAAAGAAAAAAAAATGCCATTTATATAACTGTTTGGTAATATTATAATTTTTTATTATTTTCACTGTATACGTGGCGTCCACGCCTGTAAAAAATAAGCCGCGTTATAAAAAAAAGATCCACGTTGGATTACTAACGTTACATAGTGCCACATCAATTTTTGGGTGCCACGTAATATATTTTTTAACGGTGCCGTGACGGCCCGTTAAAATATTGAGTTTTTCACGGGTTTTGAAAAGTGAAGGGTGTAAATAGGAAGGAAAAATTCTGAAAGGTGTTGACCGCGAAAAAAAAATAAATGGAGGGTGCAAATAGGGGCTTTGGCCTTTATATATCTTGTCTTACATTTTTGTTTGTCTCACGTCTAACTTTTCTTCCTCTCTTCTGCTTCTGCAAGTCGATTCGTCGGTGGCGGTAAGTACTATTATTTCATATAAAGTGTTTTGTTTATTTGTCATTTTTCTTAAAATAGTCTTTATTATAGATCAAATCTGTAGTTTAGATGCATGCTGTTATTTTTTTATGATTTTATCCAATTCTGTTCAACACTTCTAATTAAAAAATTAATTATATAACGAAAAAAATTTAGTGTATATTAATTTGATTTTAAAAAAAATTAAAGTTTTAACTTCATAAACATCACTTTGTAATTAATATTTTCAAAAATTAACAGTTAAATTTAGTATTTTATTCATAAAGATCATCCATATTAATTTTTGAATTGATTAAATATATATATATATATATATTGCCTTCAATTCAATATATATAATTAGTTCATTGATTATAAAAAAATTTATAATTCTTAAATATATACTTCTTTTACTTCAAAATAATTGTTATTTATTAACTTTTAGTTTGTCTATGATTATAGATGTTAGATCAATTTAAAAATTAACATGCATGATCTCTATCAATAAAATATTAAATCAATTGATTTTTTAAATATTCATTAGAGAATGATATTTTTTAAATTAAAACTCTAATTTTTTTATAAAAATCGAGGTTGATATGCATTTTTTCCATAACAAAAACATGCATTATATCTTAATATTATTTCAGGTAAAAGTATGCATCATATATATGATGATATTATATTTTATATTTATATATATGATGATATGTATGCTTTATTATGCAGCTCTATAGGCGTTCCTTTTTTTTTTTTTAAATGAAGTTAAAGGAAAATGTAAAGGTTCAAGCCAATCTGTACGTGGTCCAGTGCATTAAAGGCACAACAAAACTTAGTTTTAAAAATATAGCACACCATTAATTTAGGTATAAGATAATTAAGATTCTATTTAGTATAGTTTTAATTTTAAATTTTTGTTTTTATTTTTATATATTTAATAACTAGTACTACATTTAAATTAAATTTAGTAAATTTAGATTTTTATAATGAATTTTTAATTCTAAATATAATAATAGTTCTTAAATGTATAAAAGATGAAAACTCAATCAAAACTTAAAACTAAAATCATATTAAATAAAGACTTAGTAATTTAATAGTAACATAAATATTATAACCAAAAACAATAAAAAAAATAAAATATTATAGTCGAACCCAGACCTAAATCTAATGGTGAAACCATAAATCAACATAATACATCTAACCTAAAATATGAAAAAGCAAATACTAAAATTATTCCATGACAACAAAGCACCTACCTACCATTTCTTCTAATCTCAACATTCACCATGGGGAAGGACGTCAAACATTGATAAACTCCCACAAACCATGCCTGGAAAGTCAAACACGCATAGAAGCCATTCTTAAAGGGAGGTTAAAACCCTTACAAGAAAATCTAAGTAAAAAGGAAAAAAAAAAAAAAAAACCTAAAAAAGTAGAAGGAGAAACAAAATTAAAGCAAGAAGGGAAGAAGAAATAGAGAATGTGAGATATAGGGTAGAGAGAAACCAAAACCCTGGCCGCTTCTCTTTAGTGTAATGTTCATTTGAATTATTTTGCAAGTGTTATAAGTAGAATATCTTATATCAGTCAATTAAGGAAAAACTATTAAATTAAACTTCAGTATGATATAATTATTTCATCTATTATCAATTAATTTTAAGTTATTTATTGTCAATTAATTTTAAATTATATATTAACACGTATTATTACCCCAAAATCAATGCGTCCTATATGTCTCATATATTAAAGCTTAAATCTATTATAATGTAGGTATCCAATGGGAGGTTTATGGTTTGAAGCGGACCTCATTGTGCAACTTGTTATAGAGTAAAGCGTTGGGCAGGGATTTACAAGACAAATATGGTAAAACAAACAAACTAAAGAAGATGGTATTCTTCAGTGCTGAAAACATTAAAAATCTATGGGATACATGGAATATCAAAGGATTGATTAGTCTAAGCCTCTTGGTTCAAACTTTCTTAATTCTGTTTGCACCATTGAGGAAACAAAAGGGGGGGAAATGGATCGTCATGATTCCTATCTGGTTGGCATACTTGCTTGCAGACTGGGTTGCTACATTTACAATTGGACTCATCTTACGGGCTGAACCTAGTGACATCTTGGTATTTTGGGCACCCTTTCTTTTGTTACATCTTGGTGGCCCCGATAATATTACTTACTTCTCTATGGAGGATAATGAGTTCTGGATCAGACACTTACTTGGACTTGTGTTACAAATTGGTTCAACTATATATGTTATCCTTCAGTCACTCCCCCAGAACAAGCTTTTGCTCCCAACCTTCCTCGCGTTAATTGGAGGCACAATCAAACATGCAGAACGGAATCGTGCTTTTTATCTTGCATGTTTTGACCATTTTGGTGATAATTGGCGGACCCACCATTGGCCAATAATTGGCAAGCACTCACCGTTTGGTTATTTGTTTTATGGCAGGTTTCCAAATCAATTTCTTAATACAAAATTTTTCTGTAGAGATGAGATATTTGCTGTGTTTGGCATTTTCAAGAGCCTACTGGTAGGTCCTCGTATGCCTTCAGAACAAAAAGGTTTTGTTTTATCAACAATAAGTCGTTCAAATTCAGGTGAAGTGCTAAGTTGCTCACATTCAAGTGAAGTGCTTCAAAACATAGAGATCAGTTTAAGCCTCTTGTATGAGCTCCTTCATACCAAGTTACCTGTGGTTGATTCCAAGATTGCATACTTTAACCGCATTGCTAACTTTGGTTGCATCTTGGGAGCTTTGTTGTTATTCTCAATGCTTAGGAAGCACTACAAGTTGGGGGAGTTTGACACCTGGCTGACCTATGGGTTGCTCATTGGGGCCTTGGCATTGCATTTAATTTCCGTTATATCTCTCGTCATGTTCTCTGATTGGATTTGTTTTGGTCACTACGAGAATGTGGAATCCCAAAAGCACAACAAGCGTAGGTGGTCTAACTCTGTTTCCCAATTAAATTTTATAACTTGTCGTGTCAAG